AGCGGCGCGGCACTGCGTCACCTACGCCACCCTCTACACTCTCTCGGACAACACCCCGGCCGTCTCCCGAGTCTCCAAAGGGGCGGTCACCTCCGATGGTCCTGCGGCGTTCCTGTGCAACTACGCCTGCCGCCACCAGCGGGAGCACCGCTACTGCGCCCTCTCGTCCTACATCCCGGGTCCTGCCAACGTGATGGCTGATGATGCGTCGCGCCTGCAACACCTCACCCTGCCTGACCTTCTCGCCCACTTTGAACAGCGCTATCCGCAGAACAGACCCTGGCAGGTGTTGACTCTGCCACCCGAGGTCAGTTCACAGTTGATCTCCGCCTTGCGCTGCAGACCGCTTCCAAAAACATTGTCTCCAAGACGGCCGCCGCCCGGGACCGGACCTTCGGACGATGGTGTGACTTCTGCGCAGGCCTCGGCGTCAACCCATCCCTCTGTGATATCCCTGACCAAGAGGTCCAAGCCTGCTACCTCCTTGTCTTCGGAAACCGTTACCGCGAGTCTAACAATGTCCGAGCTGACTCAGTGGACAAGGCCCTTCTTGCCGTCGGGAAGGGGATCACCGACCTGGGTCACCCGGATCCCCGAAAGCTCAAGGCTGGATCCGACCACAACCATCCAATACTCGCTGCTTTCCTCAAAGGACTCAGAGATGAAGATGGACCCCCTGACCGCGCCTACCCCGTCAACCTCTCCATCCTCCGAGCTATGCTCGATGCCCTGGACTACGACGACGCCACTTGGGGAACCCTCAACCGCCACGTCCGAGACCTCTGCATCCTGGCCTTCTTCTGGCTCCTACGCCCTGCGGAGTACCTGGATACCGGGAACCTTGAATCCCGAAGCCAAGCCTTTCGCCTCTGTGATGTCTCCTTCACTGTCCGCGGCGGCCTCCAAGTCCGCGGAGACACCATCTCTTTGAATGACGTGAAAAACCACGCGTGCCTCACCGATGCCACGTTTACGTTCACTGACCAAAAGAATGCTGTCCGCGGCGAGTCCGTGGGCCACCGCCCGACCTCTGATCCGTGGCTTTGCCCGGTGAAGTCCCTCGCGCGTGTGGTCTACCACCTCCGTACCAACGGCGCCGACGCCGATACTCCCCTCTTCAACCACTTCAATGCGGCCCGCAACCGGTGGTATCCTGTGAAGCCCCAGTTCATCACCAACGCCCTCCGCCACGCTGCGGCCCTCATCTCCCACGACACCGGCATCAACCCTGACAAGGTCTCTGCCCGCTCCCTCCGTCCTGGTGGTGCCACCGCCCTTCTCTGCGCCCATGTGGACTCAGATGCCATCTGCCTTCTCGGCCGCTGGAAGTCCGACGCCATGCTCCGCTACCTGCACATCCAAGCCGCTGCCGCCACCCACCACTACTCCCAACAGATGTTGGACCATGGGGCGTACCACTTCCCAGGAGGCACCTACGATCGCCACCTCCTCCCGGCACAAGCGCCCCAACACTTCAACGAGATTCTTCTCCACGAAGAACTCTACGAGGACTAACCTACCCCTAGTCCTCGGCCCCCTGTCCTCGCCTCCACCTGGACAGGGGGTAACTTCTCCCACCCCGCTCCGCTCCCTCCCTGTTCTGCCTTTGGCTTTTGGGTTGCACGACTCAAGGCTGTCCCGTGGAACATCACATTCCCGGGACTCCCTTTTGCCGTGTGGGATCCATCCGGGACTCCCCAGTCCCGAATGGTACCCCGGGGACTGGAGACGGTCGGCTCAGTAAATGGCCGAGTCTCTCCACTCACCTAATCCTCTACTAGTCTGTCTAGCTGCTCTGGGCGAGCGCAGCTTGTCTCCGCTCGGTGTTGAGCAGCAACACGCCTGGGGAACCCCCCGTCCGAGTTTCCACGCCCCGCAGCGTGGAAACTTGAACCCTGATGGGTTCTCGCAACTATGACCCTAATCATGGTTGCCGAGAGGACCATCTCACAATTTGCAAAATTAGATCCCGCGCTCCTCACCTACATGTACAACTCAAGTACATCTCTACATCTCGCAGGTCATCACCTGCGTTCCGGAAATGGATACCCCACATGATGATGCACCGCATCAGCTCCTCAATGCCTCTCGAACAAGATCACCCTTAAGGCAACGACGCCCGTCCAAGACCACATTTGGCAAGATCGGCAGCGGCAACCATGAATCACTAAAGCCAGCGACCTAGCCAAGATCAGCCATTGAACTGCCGATCGCAAGAAGGTTGTCTCTCTCTCAGCTCACAATTCTTCATTCAGCCGACGCTGAAGGCAAGAACCTAGATTAGATTAACCCACCTCTCCCTCCCTGGTTGCACGACTCAAGGCTGTCCCGTGGAACATCACATTCCCGGGACTCCCTTTTGCCGTGTGGGATCCATCCGGGACTCCCCAGTCCCGAATGGTACCCCGGGGACTGGAGACGGTCGGCTCAGTAAATGGCCGAGTCTCTCCACTCACCTAATCCTCTACTAGTCGTGTCTAGCTGCTCTGGGCGAGCGCAGCTTGTCTGCGCTCGGGTCAGGAAGAAAAAGTACTAGAGTACTGTTTTACTATAGAGAAAAATGGGGTCTGGGAGTTGGACGGGGGAACGAGGTGAGGTAATAATTGTTTATCTCACCTCGGCCCCCCTTTAAAATTAGGTTTATCGTTGCCAGGCTCCTCTCTCTGTGGGCAACAGTGCGATCTATTGTGGTGGCAGATCGCCTATAATCAGCTCATACGATCAGCTTTTAGTTAGGAGCATCATTTCTCATGGGTGCTAAGGCTGTACTGTAGCAAAAAATGCCCTATTAAATCGCCATTTCGGACGTGCTAGGCCGTTGCCACGTTGAACGTACGCTTGCATGGCTAACCGACCGAGTTGGCCGAGTATACGTCTCTAGAAAAAATGACAATCCTGAATCGATCGAGCCAAGACACCGCCTATGTCTCGATTAAACTTCATCTTGGTTGCCGCTTCATCAGTACAGTTGTTAATGTTGATCAAAATTGATCAACATTAACAAATTGAACTTTTAATTTGACAATAACTGGGAACAACACACTCCGCCATCATCCAACATCCAAGGACGGACTACACGTGTATATGGTAGATGGCGATAGCAACAGTTGCACTACGAGTATGGTAAGGTTAATAGGATCATACCCTTATACATCGTTGTTGTGTATGTTGGGTATCATGGTACCTCCTGTTGGCTTCATACATCATCCAGAGAAAAGTCACTGTCCGGAGAGAGAAGTCACGCCCAACATTCATGCGAATTTCTGCATGACGAGAGTAACAGTGCCGCTCGTTCGGTTGTCGTATAGTGCCCGTTGACAACAAACAAGTAGTAACAGCAGCAGCAGTTGCGGTCGCTCCATGATTCTATTGTCGGTTGTTGCCTTATTGGCTGTACTGCTGTATGCTGTACTGTTACTAGTACTTCATTGTCGTGTACCTCATGTTGGCTTCGTCATCGACCAAATGTCATCGACTGAATGAATCGAACTCGAATGGGAAGAACGGTGCCGCTGCTTCCAGCTACCTCCGGAAGAGTCGTCGTCGATTCGTCGCTTCGATAGGTCGCTCCAGTAAATCGACCTCTGCATAGCGTAGTATCGATAGTATCCGCTGCTTGTTGCAGACTTCGATCAATCACTGAGCAGAAGATGGAGTGTCGCTCCGTGGAAGCAGTCATCAGCCGAATCGATCCGTCGAACGCAGGAGCATGTCATGGTGGAGTATGAGAGAGGAGCAGCAGCTGTGAGGGTTAGAATCGGCAGGACACCCTGTCAAAACATCAAAACTGTCAAGGAAACATCAAAATTGATTCAAAGAATACTGTCAACATCCAATTACAGTGTCCGCAATAAGGATTTTCTTCTGTTTTCTGTTTGCTCTTTACGCTTTCAAGTTTTTTGCATTTTGGATGGGTGTGTCCGCAATAAGACTTTAAATTTTGTGTTTCAGGTATTTTTTCATGTTTTCAACAGGACATGGCTTGGTGAAAGATTTAGGTATCACCATGGATAGGGACTTAACAGAACAGACTTGAAAATCACTCAACTGACAGATCCCGTTGCAGTCGTATCGTGGAGACTTCACTGTATCCCTCATCCAAGCCTCTCCTCCCCCCCTCTTCTTGATTGTTTCGATGATCAAGATGGTGCTACTAGTTCTTTACAGCGGCTACTCCTCTGAAGAAGAAGGCTCCACCATGATGCTCATATTCTTAGGCTAATAGTGGCAGCAGCAGCCATTGGACAACAGGAGCTTCCGCTTTCATTCGACGACAGGAGCTTCCGCTTTTGTTCGACACGTGTCCGACGAAAGATTGATTTGATTCGGTCGATCGATGACTTCTTTCTTCTTCCACGGAGCAACCATGACAGAGCGACACCCGTAACAAGGGGCTACTAGACTACTCTATGCTGCAGAGTTCATCTACCCTGAGGAGCCATGAATCGATGGCTGGACTCATATTGGAGTCCATGGTTGGTTGTTGTCCTTCGTGGATGGTGTGATTCTTCTTCAGAACCCTCTTACTTAAGGGGCAAGCCTGAATGAAGAAGTGTAATTGGCAAATCTACTTTCTACGTCATCTACCTTTTTTGAGGTAGATGAGGTAGATTTACCTTTTACACTTACTGTTTCACTTTTGAAATAGTGAAACTTTTGCAAGAAAAAGTGACACTACATAATGTAAAGAGTAGAAAACGCTTATTGCGGACACGGTATTGAGGATTTTTTTGAGTCAACCAGAGTCAATTTTAAAGTAAACTTTATCAATGTTGATCAGTTTGATAATATTTTGATGTCAACACTGACATATTGATTCTTGTTGACGTCAATTGATCAAATTGATCAAGATTGACAAATTGACGGTTTGGGTCTTGTCAAAAGTGTCAGTAACCATCAATTGACAATATTGACATCAAAATGTCATTTTGACTTCAAATGCCTCATTTCCCGATACCATACTCCACACAGCCAAACAATGAAACTAGGCAGCTCCGACCATGGCGACAAACGACTCTTCTTCCCAACCAGGGAAGGACGAGGGAAATCAGCCGCTGGCGGCAGCGTCCGAAGCAGTTGCGATCGCGACGCCGAAGGCACCAAAGCCCGAGGCAGCCGGGGGTACTGGTGCTAGTGCTAGTATGATATGGGATTGCTTGAAGGACGGGTGTTTCAAAGCTCTAGTGATATTCAACGATGCGGTAATGAAGGTGCACAATAAAATCAAGAATGGCCGTATTACAGGATGCTTCGATATCGTTGACAAAGATGAAACAACAGATCATCGCCAAGTGCTCCTGGGACTGACTGGAAGCATCACGCACGAGAGATTTTCCTATTTTCCTCCACCCAGAAGTCCTGGTATGCCAAGAACAATGTAACAGGAATTGTTTTCAACCAAAAGTTGGTGCTTGCGAGTGCTACTTTCTACCACATGGGAGGTTTTCGCGACATTGAGGCCGCCCTCAAAACTTTGGACGGTTTGTCCTATTCAGCCATCATCCAGGAGTCTTCTGGAACACGAGCTGTTCCATCTAAAAAATCATTACGAACTCACAGATGATCCCCAAATCCTTCGGATGACACAGGAAGGGTCTCCGCTGCATGCAGAAGCCGGGCTGGTGGGGCAGCAGAAAATTCGGAAAGATCTGTTCAGCGAAGCTAACCCACGGCAGTTGGTCGTACCTTCTCGTACGATCAGACGTGGCTGGAAACCTCCTCTTGGAATCACAGCTGGCGTGTTCGCCACAGTTTCTGGCATGATTACGAGCAACGTGAGATACAATGCACAGGCCCTCACCATTGATGAACTCATGGAACATCTGCGGATGATCACCTCTGCAGAGGGTTCGGCTTTGAGGGTTGAAACAACTGATGAGGACCAACAACCATCACAGCTTCCCCGTCGTGGCCAGATGGATGATAATGCAACCCCAAAATCGAATTCGAAACGAAAACGTGAAGGCAGTACAAGTGGTGATGGTGACCAAAAGCCTCCTGCCCGCGGCAGATCCTCACCCCAGGAATTGTTTTCAGCTGGCTCTCAGAATGATGAGCCCAATCTTGCAAGCAGCAAATCTACCAAGGAATATGGGGATGGCCTTGTGTCTTGGGACAAAAGTGACGAGTCTGACGACGATTCCGACAATGATGATTCTTACGACGAGGATGCTGATGGTGAGAAAGAGCTTCACCAATTCGACCAACAGATCGGTGGGGCTGAGTATGAAACCATGCTGTCCAATGCCTCATGGACCAAAGCGACAGTTCAGGTTCAGTATTGCGACAAGGACAAGAAGGAGCGTGCGTCGTTTACCTCATCGGAAGTTGTTTTTGTGGAGCTGACCTTCACCAATCCAGTGAGCAACCAGGAGGACATCTATATTGAAATCTATCGGCGACGATTCGGACGGGCGGGCATTGGCATGTTCATTGATGGACAAACGAAGTGATATCTACCAATGGATGGACATCATTGTATGGTAATGGCCAAACTCCGTCCGGGGGAGTCAGTCACCTTTTTTCGCGAGCTTTGCGGCGGCAGCACCATTGGTCACACAACAAACACGTTGTGCCAGGCCGAAGGTTGCAACCTGGTCCCATTCTGGACACCCGACAAGCCGGGAACATACGTTGCGAAGGTGACCCTAGGAACATGTTCTTGGGATGCGTCGTTTCCATTCTCGATTGAGGAGGAACAATCGGAGTGAAGTGGCGGTGCTCTTCTGTCGGCGATCGTTGAGTTTATACCACGAATTGACAATCCTTCCAACGGCCTTACCAAGCCTAACGGTTACCACAACACTAAGTATTTGTACCAAAGGGTGGTGCAGTTTTCAATACGAAGTGATCTTGAGGGTGCAGAGCCAAGAACAGATGACAGATGGGCCCAGTAGCTAGCTATTATAGACAACAATCACAATTCTCAAATTTAACCTTGGCAGTCTATCTGCCTGAGCCCTCGCCCCCTTTTTTGGTACTTCCTATTTCCTATTTCGTCTCCACGAGATGATGCACCTTTTGGTTACCCCCTCAGTTGCACTCTGGAATCGATTTGCCAGCGTTTACTGTGTAAAATAGAGTAGCGGCAAGTCAGTTGCAGAATCAATGGTCATGTGTATCGTTAAGTAGCAAGTTCCCTTTTGAAAGATTTAGATTGATTCGTGGATAAAAGAAGCGTTGAAATTACTAAGGTTCGAGTATTAATACATGTACAAGTCCATCATTGAAGGTGCAGCACTGACTTCTCTCCTTCATTGAAATTCTATGGCTAACAGGAGAGAAATCCAAGCTTGGCCCACAAGAGTGGTGTTGGATCGATCGAACGACTGGTATGGTACGAGGTAAGCCTCTATTATCAAGAGTGTTATTGAAGGTGCAGATTCGAAAGCCATCCCTCATTGAATTTCTATGGACCACGGGAAGGCAGTCAGATCTCGGCCGCCAACAGGTGAGTTGTTTTAATTATTCGAGTCGAGTCGATCGCCGTACCTCTTCTATCAAACCTCACTCAAGCTGACCGTCTCCGGTGTAGATTGGAACGCCATCCCTCATTGAATCCTATGGACCATGGGATGGCAGTCAGTTCTCGGCCCATGATGGCCAAGTTGGTGCATGTTGAAAAACAAGGGTAAGTCGCTGGTTTTCTTCAGTTGAGCACAGAAAACAAAAACTCATATCTATTTGTTGTTTTCTCTGCTGCACTGCTGACGGCCGAGGAAATCCCATTGTTGAGTCCTTTTCGAACGATCGAACGAACGATCGATTGCTCCGGATAACAAGAAGAGGAGAGGCTACTGATACCAAGGAGAACAAGAGGAGGCTCTGTTAACTCCAGCCCTACTAACAGTCTGAACAGATCGTCGTCAAGTCATTGAAGCAACAAGAGGAGGCCACACTACTCAACAACACACAAGAGAGTGGATTCTACAACTGGATTCATCCTTCCTTTAATATTTCCTAGTGCTTTGTTGGTGTGCAGGTGATTCCTGTGTCGGTACCCATTTTCCTAATAATAACTGAACCATTTACAAGCTTATGGACTACTCTAATGCTTCGTCTTAAGTTGCTTGTCGTCTCGAGGAGACTTTGACAACACCCTCTTTATGCTAGGAGCTCTTTGGCTACTAGAAGGTCATGTTGGGTTGCACTGCAATTGAAAACGTGAAGGGAAAGTGATGGAGCAGCTCCCTTCAAAGCTAGCTCCACTTGTTGTATCCAGTACGGAGGTCACAGTATGTCAAGGGGGAAGTCCTCGCATCCATCGAATGAGTAATGAAGTGTTTTCAGAGATGGTATTTAGGGAATCGTCATTTTGTTGTATACGTTGGAATCGTTGTCGAGCTGTTGTGATATTGAGGAGCCAAGCCTTCTTGAAGGCGGTCGGCTTGCCCAATAGGGAGATAAGATTGTGTCGCATGATGTCTCGATCGCCAGGTAGGAGTTGTTGGGTGCCTTTGTTGAACTCTGTGATGATCTCTTGATCCAGGAGAAGAAGGGCCTGTTGGTGGCGGGGTCGAATGGTTTGGTGCTTGATCAAGTTGCGATGGCGCCACATGTTGTAGCCCAGATGATGAAGTTGGATAAGCAGCCCTCTCATCCAACGTTGACTGGAGCGCCGAATAGATGCACTTACGTAGTAGTCATGTTGGCGTCGTCGCCATAGTTTGGTGGGAAGACCCTCGAGGAGGTTCTGCCAACCGATCTGGTGTTGATGATGCACTAGGTCACGAGCGTCGGGAGGGTATGAAGCCAGGTCTATAGGCGTCGCGTTCCGCCATTTATGGAGGCAGTCAAGGAGAAGAGTGATGATTGTCGGGTCTGTCTGATTGTTGGTAAGATATGTCTCAACGTTAGACATTCCTTTCGTCCAAATTTCGTTAACGCCTTCGCTTCGACACCGAAAGACGTGAGTTGTTTCTTCGTGGGCACCGCATCGAGGACATCGTGTGTCTTGTTGATAGCCCCATTCAACGAGGGTAGACCCAACGCCGCAGTTTGCCGAAGCAGATTTCAATGCCCAACGTTGCTTCCCTGGAGGCAACTTCGAGAGGGCCTCAGATGAGCTTTGCCAGTCCAGATCATCCGTGAGTTGAGTGGGGATGTTGTTGTGGCGTATTCACCAAAGTTGCGATACTGGGTTTTGGATGATGTTGTAGAGGGTGTGAACTGATGGATGAGTCACCTTTGTGGTTCCCTGCCAGAGCTGCCAGCTCTCCCCGTGTATGGGTAGAGAGGCTGGATCATCCAGAGCTGTAGAGTTTTGATGGACAAACAGATATTGCCAGTACTGCTTTGCCTTGTGATCCATTTCGATGTTCAATCTAGCTGTTCGAGAGAGGCGATGCGAGAGAGGCGATGCGTTTGGTGGTGGTTATCCTGGTGACCCTTCACGTGAGTAGCATCCCATTGAATTGGCATAGTGTTGATGTTGTACAGGATGGCAGAGACCAAGTCAAAGTTGCGATGGTTTGGATCTGGGATGTAGTCAGGATCAAAAAGGTCGATAGCCTGTTGGTTATCGCAGGAAATGCAGACCGAACCTTGATTGATGTGATGAAACGCAACAATGCCTTGCACAACCAACACCACTGCATAGATACCAGCTAGTTCGCACCTGTGAGAATCCCCTGGGCTGATTGGTCCTGGAACTTGATTTGCACCTGATATGCGATGACTTGAATCTACGCTCTCAATGACGAAGGCTGATGTACCCAGGCCCAGTTTGAGAGACCCGTCACTAACTGCTAGTGCATGATGGTTGCTAATAGCTTGGGCGATGGTGGTGCCATCATCGCTGAGGTGAAGTGCTCTGAGGGCCCAATGAGAGTCTGACGGAAGGGATTCCAGCATTTGTGGGAGCGTGTGAACAACCGGTGTGGCTGTCTCCGACGAGGCTCCAAGCGATGTAATAGCAACGTAATCAGACTGGGTATTGGAGAGAACACTAGCTCTGGAGGATGTTGGTGGGACTTCTTCTGTAGGGATGATGATGGGGTCGTAGTATTTCTGTGCTCTAGACCGACGCGTGGACCGAGAAAAGCGTGCCCAGGTGTCATCTATCTTTCTCCGGTACAGCTTGTCGGTTGGGGCGTGATACCACCAGATCCACTCGGAGTCATGGCGCCGTAGCCATGGACCCAACGGTTGTTGAAGTCGCCTGTGTTGTGACTGTGGTTCCAGAAAGGTTTGTCGGAGAGCGTGCTGCCAAATATCCCATTTGTGGTGTTGATGGCTAGGTTTGTATGTGTTGATCCAGTGGAGGGGTCGGCGGTGCTCCATTGTTTTCCCATGCCACGCAGAGAGGATGATTTGTGTACCATCGGCAGTGCAGATATCAGACAAAGTGGTTGCCCGAAGGAATAATCTGCAGTCGTTGAGGGTAAGCAATGTCTCATCAGGGAAGGATTGAGCGACAAAGGGGTGTAAATTACTCATTAGTTTAGAAAACTATGGCCACGGAGTGGCTTTTATGACGCGGGCAAGTGGTGGGGAAGCCCCCACCTAGCTGAGTCGTCATCTACTTGTTTGCCCAATCAACATGACCTCATCCACTGGCCCAACGTGGAGCCAG